GAAATTTAATGAAAAAGAATTTATAAATGGAAAATATAAGCTTGGAATTTGCTATTATTTTGGAATTGGAACTAATACTAATAAAAAAGAAGCATTTAAAATATGTAAAGATTTAGCTGAAAAAGGACATGAAAAAGCAGAAGCTTTGCTTGGTTATTTTTATAATCAAGGTGAAGGCACAAAAAAGGATTTAGTAAAAGCTTTTAATTGGTATCGAAAAGCAGCAGAAAAAGGAAATATTGATGCACAATATAATCTTGCAATATTATATGAAAAGGGTGAAGAAATAGAAAAGGAATTAGAAAAAGCCTTTAACTGGTATAAAATAACAGCAGAAAAGGAATATATAATTGCAATGAATGATTTAGCATTATGTTATCAATATGGAAAAGGAACTGAAAAGAATTTAGAAAGAGCCTTTTATTGGTATCAAAAAGCAGCAGAAAATGATAATGTAATTGCAATGAATGAGTTAGCTTTATGTTATCATTTTGGAAGAGGAACTGAAAAGAATTTAGAAAAAACCTTTTATTGGTATCAAAAAGCAGCAGAAAATGATAATGTAGTTGCAATGAATGAGTTAGCTTTATGTTATCATTTTGGAAGAGGAACTGAAAAGGATTTAGAAAAAGCATTTTATTGGTATCAAAAAGCAGTAGAAAATAATGATGTAGTTGCAATGAATAATTTAGCTTTATGTTATCATTATGGAAAAGGAACTGAAAAAGATCTAGAAAAAGCATTTTATTGGTATCACAAAGCAGTAGAAAATAATAATGTAGTTACAATAAACGATTTAGCTTTATGTTATCAATATGGAAAAGGAACTAAAAAGGATCTAGAAAAAGCCTTTTATTGGTATCAAAAAGCAGTAGAAAATAATGATGTAGTTGCAATGAATAATTTAGCTTTATGCTATCATTATGAAAAAGGAACTGAAAAAGATCTAGAAAAAGCCTTTTATTGGTATCAAAAAGCAGCAGAAAATGATAATATTGATGCACAATATAGTCTTGCTTTATTATATGAAAATGGAGAAGGAGTAAACAAGAATTTTGAGATTGCTCTTTACTGGCATCACAAAGCAGCGAAAAACGGTTACACTGCTGCACTAAATCATCTTATAAAGTTATTCGAAAAAGGTGTTGTAACAGAAATTTATTTGGAGCAAGTACGATATTGGTATCAAGAAGCAGCAAAAAATGGATATATTCGAGGACAGAATAATCTTGCATCTCTATATGAAAAAGGCGAAGGAATAGAAAGGAATTTCGAAAAAGCCTTTTATTGGTATCAAAAAGCAGCAGAAAATGATTATGAAATCGCAATGTATAATTTAGCTAAATGTTATCAATATGGAAAAGGAACAGAAAAAAATTTAAATAAAACTATTTATTGGTATCAAAAAGCAGCAGAAAATGGTAATGAAATTTCAATGTATAATTTAGCTGTATTTTACCAAAGTGGAGTAGTTATGGAGAAGAATTTAGAAAGAGCTATTTACTGGTTTCAAAAAGCAGCAGAAAATGATAATATTGATGCACAAAATATGCTCACGGTATTATATGAAAATGGGGATGGAATAGAAAGGGATTTGGAAATGAGCTTTTATTGGTGTCAAAAATCGGCAGACAATGGAAATAATATTGGACAGTTAAATTTGGGTGAACATTATGAATTTGGAAACGGTGTTAAAAAAGATGAATTAAAGGCTTTTGAGTATTATAAAACGTCAGCTGAAAGTGGCTTGGTGGATGCAAAATTTTACCTCGGATATTGTTACGTGAATGGAATTGGAACAGAGATTAATAAAGAAATAGGATTCAATTTATATGATGAGGCTGCTAAAAAAGGTATATCTGATAAAATGGTGAATGATTTAGATAATATTAATTATTGGTATCATAAAGTTGCGGAAAACGACAAATTTGCATTATACAAATTAGGTGAAGTTTACGAATTAGGAAAAGGTGTATGTAAGAATTTAGTTAGAGCATTTGAATTTTATATTAAATCGGCTAATCAAGGATGCCTAGAAGCTCAATACAAAGTTGGATTTTATTACGATAACGGAATTATAAACGACGTTGATAAAGAAAGAGCATTTGACATGTACAAGATAGCAGCTAAGGAAGGAAGTTGTGATGCATAAAAACGTATTGCATATTTATATGAACGGGGTGAAGGAGTAAACAAAAATATAGATAATGCTATTTATTGGTATAAGAAAGCCATAGAAAATGGATGTCAAGAGGCCAAAGAAAGTTTAAATAATCTATTATTATATTCCGGAATATTTTGATGTTAGAGATGATAATCTTAAATAAATTTATACAGATATTGTTCCTTTACAAATGTAATTTTTTTTTGCTTTATTTCTAATTAATTATTACGTCATAATATCTTAACTTTTTTCAAATAGATTGATTATATTTGAAGTAAATTAATTGAAATTTTTAATATTGAGGGCAGACCCCAAATTTTTTTTTTTTATTAAAAAAAAAAAATGATAATCCATTATCTTATAAGAAAATATTCCTGAACGATAAATAAAACATCTTATATAATGTTGTGACACTTTTCTAGTCAAAATCAAGCACTTCTACTTAATGTTCCGAATGATAAAGTCATGCGAAGTTAATAGTAACTGACATAGCCGACCGGCCACTGCCTTTTAATTGGTTACATGGATTTGTTAACTATAATTTATTTTAAAAATTTCATGACAGGTTGAGGAGTAAGGTTTTGATCTTGTATTAGAGTTTTTTTTTGTATTAAATACTTTTTTTTTCTTTTTTCTTTTTTAAAAAAATATTATTATTATAAACCACCATTAAAAATGTGGAATGAGAGAGAATGAAGGCTCATGTTGTTTGAAGTGGAAGTCATTTGCTAAAAAGGTCATATGACACGAAGAGTTTACAATTGAATTTGCTGCCTGATTTGTAAACTTTTTAAGTGCTTTTCTATTTCTAGGAATTCTTTTTGTTTGTTTAAGAGGGTTTGAAGCTCTTCTTCAGCCAAAACTCTTGCAAGAATGGTTCGGTAAGCTTTCATTTTGCCAAAAAATACTTCACTCTGAGAAGTTTTGCACGATTTGCTTTTGGGTTTCTAAGATTAAATCAACTATTGGAAGAAAATTTGCCCGCTTTGTCTTTTGCTTCCGTAATTAACTGAACCACCTTCGTGCTTTCATTTCTTACTTGTGGCGCTAATTCTTGGACTAAAGTCGGATAAAGTTTTGTTTAGGTTTAGTGAAATGATACGGAGGACTATCAGGAAAGGCTATATTGGACAATTCGTTTATTTGGCTTTGTAATTCTTGATTTTCCTGTTGGACAATAGCTAACTGTTGTTCTAACTCTTTAGTTCGTTGGTTATTGTCACAAATTTTTTTATTTATTGATCTAGTTGAGTTTGGATTTTCCTATCGATTGCCTTAGACTGGTTTGCAATTTGTAATTCTCTTGGTAGCTTTCTCGGAGTGCTTTAGAAAAATAGACATCGCCGGTAAGCTCGCCGATTCTGTCTCTGTTTGAGGCAAACTAATTGAATGGATGTTAGGCGTATAAGCCAAAAAAGAAAATTATCAATGCTGGTATGGTATCAAATATGCCAATAAATGTAATTTCGCTCGAGTGAGCAAGTTGTAAACTTGTTAATCGAGAGTTGCATCCAATGTCTACACAGGTCAAATTAAGATATTCTGATAAATCTAAATGTCCTGCTAATTGACTCGACTCGATAGTAATGATTTCGTTTAATATCTTTAGGAAATTTTCTTTCTATATATTTTTGAGCGTTTACCATATTATTAATGGCCTAGAATAGGTAAAATTCTTGTTGCTTGGACTTAATATATTTTAAAATTTAAGAGTGATTTATTAAGAAAATTAAAATGGCAAAACAGCTTAATTTGTATATCATTGAATTTCCTTTAATCAATAGTACAAAGTTTAAAAACGTCGTCGTTTAAAAAGAAAAATAAACCCTTTAATTGTGATAATCGGTTATATTTTGGAGCTATTATATATAGTTTGTAACACCGTTGTTCTATGAGATTTTCGAAACAGAAGTAAATTGATTGTGATTATTTACACAAAAACAATTGTTTTTTTATATATGGATAGTTTGTGCGAAGTAAGTTTGTAAATAAATAATCAATCAGCATAAAGTTAACATCTGCTAAAAAAAAAAAATTATTTTATGCCATCCCCATTGTTGTAAAACAATTTGTACATTTAAGGCATTATTAAAATACCTCTAGAACGTTTCTTAAAAAGTATATTTCCGTATGCCTTTCTTAAAATTCAATCAAGAATGTTTTTTAAAAAAAAAAAAAGAAAGAAACCATAAGATTTAGTTTCTTTTTTATTTATTTATGAAATTTCTTCGTTATTATTTTTTGATATATCTCTTTCCTCTTTCTTTTATATTCGAATATCTTTATTCGTCGTTCCTTTAGAGTATTTATTTATTCAGTAAGGGTCGGGTCGGGTCGGGTTTAAGACATTTCGAACTCGAATCCATTAATAAATTACAGAACCTGAATTCGACTCGACCCGATCATTGTTCATTGTTTATCCCGGATTCGATTCGAATTTTCAAGGGTAATATAATATTAATGCCGAAAATAAAAAAAGTGCCATATAAAGTTTATTTTATTTTTTTTTTAAAATTTATTATTTTTTTTTTGTGAGCATTCTTTTTTTTTTACATCTGAATTTCAAACAAATAAGGCGCGAATTGTATTAGTTTAAGATCTCATCTTTTTGTTGATATCAGATCGGTTCCGTAAGAAAAAACTCGTTGTACTATATCGGTAAAGTCGATAGGTTATCATTATTTATTTGTTACAAATTAAAGTAAAACAAAAAAAAAAATCTATTTATATCGATATTGTTTTAAATCAGATCGCCTGATTACTGAAGCTCTTGTCCATTGACAACAACGCTATCATCATCACCATCCATTTTATCAAATTAATCAAAGATAGAGAAGATAAATGATTTTATAAATTAACTCGTCAAGAAAAATGAAGTTCTATATTTTGATGGCCGTTTTACAAAAGTTTCTCGTCCTAATGGTAATGTTTTTAAAAACTTTAGAATTAGATTATACCCCTTGTTCGGGAATGTGGAATAAGATTTATTGAATAATTGGACGAGTGGAATAGGAGATTAGATGAATTTATCAAAGGACTCAGTTGATAACATCATGTGAGGGAGATTGCTTAAAATTTAGTCCTTTCAAAGAATAATTAATTGTTAGAGGAAAGGTGGAAAGTCATTGCCGAAAATCATGTGATTAGTGAATTATGATAAATGTTGATAATGTTAACAAATATGACAAATATGGTAAATTACAATATTAGCATAAATAATGCTAACAGAATATTATGAATTTATGAATAGTTAAAGCTAATCCATGTTTATTATAACCTCAAAAAGGGTTTAGCATTATTATCTTTAACTTTAAATCCTTTTAGATCATATATAAATGATTTATTTTCATTTTTTTTTCTGCTTACTTTAACATAATATCTCAAAATCTTTATGACTAAAAAAAGGTTAATTATTACCTAATATTTACTAATAAAAATGTTATCAATATTATTATCTATTTTTTTTATTAAAGAATTATTACATTTTTATCAAAATTATTCTATACTATAGTTTGAATATTCATAAAATTACAAATCAATATTTCAGCTTTATTTAATATTTCATTAATATTATATGGTTTGTAATATTTATTATAGATAATTTACTAAAAAATTCTGTAGATATTTTAAACATTTTTTTGTTATATATAAAAAAAAAAAAAGATGAAAATTTATTTGCATTTATTATTAAGAAAAAGAAGCTTAAAATTTTAAATAAAAAGTTTATTATAATATTAGAAAATTTATATTATTGCTGATTTTGCAGTATTTATAAAATAATTCAAATATAAATATGATTAGTATTAATATTAAAAAGTTTAAGTTCATCATTATCAAAATCTAATGATGTAAAATTAACTTTCTTATAATCATCTTATTTTCAGAATCTTTAAAATTAATTTTTAATCATTTTAATCTGATAATAAATTAAAAATTTAATCAGAATTTTTTTAAAGATATTTTGCCAATTTATATATGGGAGCAGTCAATAGAAAAGGAGAAAATCTACAAATTTTAAGTAATTTTAATTATTAAGCTAATTTTGTTCACATGATTATGATCAGCAGAGTAAACTAATAAAAAAATTTTTGACTAAAAAGTGGATTTCTCCTTTTTTACTGATTGCCTCTATATAAGTAACTTTTTATTAAAAATAATTTCTTTAGAATAATAACTTAATTACTTCAGATAATAGATCAGTAATCATAAATAATAGATTATTCATTTTATTATAATTTATTCATTATTATTTTCTATTTCATTATAAAAATCAGTTTCAGATAACTTAGTATTATTATAATAAACAGCTTCTTAATAATAGTATTACTGTATATAAATAAGATATATTTATTTATAATATATGCTTAATTTTTTATTCTTAGATTTACTAATAAACTATTATATTTTTTATAAAATAGTATACTTAGTTCTAATTCTTGTATTTATAACAAAAAACACTTTTAAAAATTAAACTTTTTTTAAAATCTTTATAATATATATATTATTTGTTTATAAAGTACAAAGAATTAGAAAAAACTAGCGAAAGAATTAACAATAATTTTAAAATTAAAGTTTTTAAGATTTATAAAATATATAATAAATATTATATTAATTTTTTAATATATATAAATCATGTATATTTTGTAATTAGCATATATTATTGTATAAAAAATATTTATAAATTTATAATAATATGAAATATATAATAATTATTTAAAAATTTATTCCTAAATACGAAAAAATCTAAGTTTTCTTTAAATGCTTTATTTATTATATAATATATTTCAGTAAGATTTAAAAATCCTATATAATAATTAATTGTAAAAGTATCAATAATTTATGTGTATCAAATTCTAAAAATAACAAAAGATCTATATGATCTTTTTTAATATTAATAGCTTATTAAATATATGGAAAATAAGGTAAAATCTATAAATTTGAGTAATTTTAGTTATTAAGCTAGTTTATTTATACAATCATAATTAGCAAAGTAAATCAATAAAAAATTTTTTAACTAAAAAATAGATTTCTCTCTTTTTTACTAATTACCTCCTATATATTAATATATAGACTTCTATTAAATTTATAAGCTAAATATTATTCAACATTTTTATAAAATTTTTATAAAAGGTTTTTTAAAAAAGCAGTCTATTTATCTACTTTTATAATAATCAGTGCAAATTGAATCAGTATTATGACTTTTTAAAAAAAGTTATTATAAATATATATCATGACTAATTAATTAATTTAAACTAATTTTAATTTTTCTTAATCTATTTTAATTAATATAATATTTATTTTTTATATATAAACCTTTATATTTTGTGTTATTTTCTAAAAGTTTATAAAGAAGAATTAAATATACTATAATCAAAATTAAATCAAATAAAGATAATACTAATCTTAAGTTTTCAATTTGTAATTTATAAAAAATCTTTTATTTTCTTCAGTTCTAATTGATTAAGGTTGTATTTTCTTAATAAAAAATAAAATTCTTTATCTATTTTAAATTAAAAAAATATAATATGTTTTTTAAAATCTTTATTCTATTAAAGAATAAACTTTTATATATATAGATTAATAAAATCGTAAATAATTAAACTATTTTTTATATATATATATTATTAATTATATTTTTATAAAGATGAAATTATAATCAAATTAAAAAAATAAGTATTCATATACTTATTCTATTAAAATAGTCAAGTAGAAGAATTCTAAACATCTCTTATTTAACTTATAAATAATATATATTAAAATGTATTATTATATAATAACTTAATTAATATTAATACTAGAAATATAATTTTATTATAATTAAATTTCTCTTATTAAAACAATTCTAATAAATCTAAGATTATTAAAATCTAATTATTAGTTAACTTAACATCTAGAATATATAAGGTAACGAATTTTAAAAATTCTGTAATATGCAATTTTTTTTAGAATTTACATATAACTCTGTAAACTTTAAATAATAGATTTATAATATAGTCACAGAAAATAGTTGTAATATATTTACTTTTATTTTATTATTTGTAATCTTTATAACAAAATTTATGATAGTATCACTTTATTAAAAAATCTGAATTATATAAGAGATTTTTAAGTACTTAAGTAATCTAATATAGACTTATATTTTTAATTATATTAACTAAATATAGTATATTATAAAATATAGCTTTATATACTAATATATTCTTTTAACTATAATAATATTATTTAAAATAAATATATAATATAATTAGAATATAATCAAATCAATTATTTAAAATTATTCTTTTATCTTTTATAATAATTATAAAAAGTCATATATTTTTATATCCTATATAAATAATATTAATGTTTAGCATAATCGAATAAATTTAATAAAATTAACTTATTCTCTATAATGTCTTATTAGTATTCATTCTTTTAAAAAAGGTAAAGAATATAATATTTTTTATTAGCCTATTCTTTAGTACTATATTTATTATAATATTGTATTATAGTCATCTGATATAGACTAAAATTATTTTACGAATATAATTCATTTCTAATTTATCTTTTTTTATATAAATTTATCAAGAAAATAATTGTTATTATCTTAAGTACTATTACTTAAAAAGAAATTTTAATCAAAAATTTAAATATACAACCAGCAATATTTTTATAAATAAGATGTATAAAATCAATAAAAAGAAAATAGAAATTGAAATACCCTTAAATTAAATAATATATTACATTTTTTAATTTCTATTATCAAAAAAAAATTATATTAATTTTTTAATATATATATAATAATATAATTTTTATATTAAAAATAAATAATATACCAAATTTTATTCTCAAATTATTTTTTTTTTAAATGTATTTGCTTAATTTAGTTAGTAATATAGTTTTAAACTATTTATGAGTATATAAAAGTAAATTTATAGAATTATATTTTTTACATTCTTCTTTATATATATTAGTAATATATTTAGAAAGAAATTAAAATTCTTAGATTTTTTTATAGTTATAATTAATAAACTTTTTTTTTTAATATAATTTTTTAAACAAATATTTATATTAACTATTAGAATTATCTAAGAAATATTAGTCATTTATTGAAAGATTTAATAACTAAGTTAATATATATTTCAATTATTCTAAAAGAAGTTATTAAATAGAAGTTTTTAATACTTTGACCTATAAAAAATATTTTCAATCTTTTTATAAAATTAAAATCTTATAAAATAATCTTTGATAAAAAAAAAATATACTATTTGATATTGAGAATAATAAATTTAATTAATTTTTTTACTTAAAATATTAGAATTCACATGTATTATAATATATAATTTCTAATATATATATAATAAGAATTAAAATATAAGTTCTTTGCAATAAAAAGAGAAAACTACCAAAAAAATTTTTTTGAGTTAATGTTAAATCTGAACTTATTTTATTAAAAAAATAATATTTAACTTATAAAGCAAAAAAAATTTTTTTTGGTAGTTTCTTCCCTTTTTAATGCAAAGAGCCCATATGATTAAATATTTAAATTGAGCAAAAGTTTACTTGATATATTAAAGGTTAGACTTAAGATAGTATCATGACAAGAGCGAATAAAAAAAATCGTAAATGCATTTGCTATGAAAAAGTTTTAGCCACACTACAAAAGCTTTATTAGCATTATGCAAGTACAAAAAAATAATGTTGTTTACCTTTAACATTATTCAACCCTGTGCATACCCACACCCAATAGGACAAAGATCAAGAAAATCCTACACTCAGATCCCAATTACTAACCCTTATTTCAATAGTCCATGCCTGAGAAAAGGATCGAAAAAGAGAGAAACCTAAACCTATTCCTAAAATACAAGCTCTCATTTCGTAAGACAAAAATTCAGAAGATAATCCTGAAGCCTATCTTAGCCCAACAACCCAAGTATATAGAAAAGGAAAACTTAGTGAAGTCTTTCTGAAGGTAAATATATTGATAAATATGCAAGAAAGCCTAAAGAGTATCTAAAAACATGGGTGCTAGATTGAAATTACTAGTGAAGAATATGATTTGTTATTAAATTTAAAAGAATGTCAGCGTCTATATTATAATCTATTACAGGCAGATGAAGAGACTTTTGAAGAAATTATTCCTCAAGAGGAAATGCAAAATTCCACCTCAAAGGTTAAAGATTAAGGGAGACCAAAGACTCCACTTCGTGTGAATATAAAGTAATTTAAAACAATATTTGTAGATCTAAATAGTAGGTATTTTATTATTAACGAAGAGGCTGAAAAATGGGATAAAGAGCATCATGATCCCAAAAAAGCTAGACTTCTAACATTAGCAGAGATAGAAGAAGAAATTGAAAAAAATAGGTTAGAAATGATAGAAAACCTACTTTTGACTGAAAGGCAAGAATATAAAATATAAAAGAAGTATGATTCTGAGGAGTATTTCCATTCAATTTATTATGAAAAGGGAATACCTATGCTACAGAAACATATGAAGTAAAAGAAGTAATAGTCAAGCCATCACATGATGATATAAAATTCTTAGAAAGAATCTGTGATCTAACTAGATTACATCCTTCTATAAGACACCTAACTATATAGGAAGCTATTATTCCATCTATCAAAAAATTTAGCATATGCTTTTAATATATGTCAAAATAATAAAAAAAAATATGCAAATGCCCATAAATGCTTCAGTTAGTTGCATCAGTTTGTAGACAGCTTACAGATATTCTTAAAAAAAAATTTCAAAGAAAAGATTAAATAAATCAGTAATAGTCATATATGCTACATATATGACAAATATCTTGAAAGTGGTGACATAGCGGATAAAAGAAACTATGAAATTACCTATCACTATCCATATCATAGAGGAAATATGCATATACTTCTCTCAGAAAATGATATAGATGAGCATATGGGACCTTTGCAATAGAAAGGGAGGAAACTCAAAAAAAAATAAAAAATGAGTTAATAATAAATCTGAACAAATTATAGTATTTGAAACATTTTTGGCTTATAAACTAAAATTTTAATTTTTTTGGAGTTTCCTCCCTTTCTATTGCAAAGGCCTCATATAACTAACTCTGCTAGAAAAATCGATGAAAAGATCAAAAAATACTTAAAGGAAGAGTCTGGTAAAATCCTACTTCAGCTAGAAATGATATTAATAGAATCTTATACTTACCATTGAACCATTGGAGGATCATATATTCCCACTCCCAAAAAGCTCTCCAATACAAAATGCACTATCAAACCAGATAATCAAGATTTCATTAATCCAGAAACAAATGCATTATCTGAAAAATGTTTTCAAGGTGCACTTGAATGCTATTTTGCAGATCAGGATAGAATTACAAATCATCTAGAAAGACATATATTTAGAGCAAAAAGTCTTAGAAAATACTTAGATATTGTCAAGCTATATGGAATCCCTATACCCATCCCAATCTGTTCGCATATATTCAAAAAGATTGAGAAGATGAACTCAGATATTTCCATTAATATTTGAGAATGGAACGAAGAAATAGCTATTCCTAAAATAGTAGTCTATAGCAAAAATTTTAAAAGATCTCATATTATTAATCTCATAGCCCTTACAGATATTATAAAGTCTGAAGAAGAAAAGTATGGGCAAAAGAATCACTTCCTATAGATTAAGAATCTTGATGGATTAGTATCCAAAGATACTGATCACTATGGTAAAAGATTTCTTTGCAATCAATGTATTATTAGTTTTTCATCCAAAAATTCTTGAGAATGTCATCAAGAACACTATTTTGAATGAGAAGAGGATTATCAAAAAGTTAATCTACCAATAAAAAGGGTTAATGATTTTGAGCAGTTCAAGAACTATGGCTGAATAATCAATGCCTCATGTGTGATTATAGCTGACTTTGAGGCTGATAACAAGAAGTGAGATTGCTCAGGTGGGATAATGAAACTATTCAAATCTTATAGTAGGCAAATGCATAAGCTTGTTAAGCAGAAGACAATCAGTTTCTGTTATATTGTTCACTGGATCAATACTAAAAATGTATAGGGTCTGTTCTTATACAGGGGAGAAAATACCACTCAAGAATTTGTCTGAAGGATTAATCAAGAGCTAGTCAGCATCAATAAAGTCTTAGCTATCAAAGTTGATCGAATAGAAACTAAAGAAGATAAGAAAAAATTCACTGAGGCTAATACTTGTTGGATCTGTAAAGGTAAATTTGATATAAATATAGAGGAAATTAAGCGTTTAGAAAGCAAAATAGTTAATCTTAAAGAGAAGCTAAAAACATTCAAAAAAGTAACAGCAGAATATAATGGTATCTAAATAATTATTGAAAAAGCAACTAAAGCTATTGCTTGTGAAAAAGCTAAGACTAATAAGATCTGGGATCACTGTTACATTACAGGTAAGTTTTGAGGATCAGCTCATAGAGATTGTAATCTCAAACTTCAAATCGAACTATAGAAGTCCTCAATTCCAATAGTCTTTTATAACTTCTGGAATTATGACTCTCATTTAATCTGTAAATCTGTTAGATACTCAGTTAATACATATCAGATCAAAGTTATAGCTGAGACATTTGAGCAATACAAATCCATGAAGATAGGTTAGCTCAAATATATTGATAGCCAGCAGTTTATGAATAATAGCTTGGCTAATCTTACAAAAAACTTAGGTAATAACCATCCAAATTACTAGCCAGCACTTTAAAGACTTTACTTTTGGCCAAATTTCTTTAGCAACTCATAAAGAAATATATCTCTATAATTATATCGATTATCAGGATAGATTCTTAGAGATAGAACTTCCTTCTATTCATAAATTCCATTCTACTCTAAAAGGAAAGATCTCGTAGAAAGATTACAACTATACTCAAAAAGTATGAAAAACTTTTAGTTGTAAGAATCTAGGTGAATATCATAATCTCTATCTTAAAATCGATATACTCTCTCTTGCTGAGGTCTAGGACATAGAGTTCGTTATAACAAAAGTTGACTGTATTCATAATTTTAATCAAAATTTATAATTTTAACTAAAATACCTTTTTAGAATGTTAGGTGATATTATATAAATCCAAAAAGTCAATTTTGATTTTATCAAAAATTTAAATAGAATTACACAAACTTTTAAAAAAGTAAATTTGTATTACTGATACTGACCACCAGTGATGATAAATAGCAAACTTTAAACTATTATATGTAAGGATTTCTAGAAAAATCAGGTTTCAAAAATTTTTGACTAAAATTAAAAGTTTAATATATTTTAATTAAAAAATTTCTAAAATCTAATTTTCCTAGTAATTAACCTATATATATTTTTATAATGATTAAATTTTTATAAAAATCATAAGTTATGAATATTTATTATAATAAACTATTTTACTTATTATATAAAAGATAATTTTATTAATAAATAATTTTAATTAAACAAAACTTTTTAGTTAATCATTTTTATTTTAAAGTAATCAGTGATTTGTTATCAGATACAATAATATATTAATTAACTTTATTAAAAATGTTAAATATATTAATTATATTAAATATTTAAATATGTTAAATATATTGATTATGCTAATTATATTAGACATGTCTAATATGTTAAACATATAACCAAAAAAAATTATATTAAAATTAAAAACCTTAAATTAGTATAATATATTTTTATATTAAACATAATGGGAATTAAGAGAATAAAATGCAAGTGCAAGAAATATTATTATTTTTTCTGATGGTAAATAAAATTATTTATAATATTTTTACTTATTAAAATCATAGTAAACAATATATTTAAATTTGATTAAATATTAATTTTAACTTTATATATATAATATAAAGAAAATATTATAAAAAAATTTGCTAATAAATTTAACAAAATTTAAAACTTTAAATATTAAGTAAAATGTTATTTAAGTTGACACAAGTTATAAAACCGAAGTCACGTTAGTTTTCGTTTGTTAGCCATTGAAAACGTGATTCGATTTTTTTTAGATTATCGAATTCAAAAAATTTTTTTATAATTTCAATTTCGGTTGATTGAAAATTCTCAAAATGTTTACTCTTTATGTATGGGGTTCAGGTTTTGATCTAGCTTCCATTGATCCAGGTTGTTTGACAGCTATTTCTTATTTTCAACTTTTTGTCTCAGAAGAATGGTGTATCATTGAATGTAACAACCCAAACTTATCTTGGACGGGTACTAAGCGTTTTTGGTTTTTTTTTTTAGTTTCTATGATACGTTGTAAAGTATTAGCTTATCAAAAGTGACTCTCAATTTCTGAAGGTGAATTACCAGTTTTGAAAGACGGAGTAGAATGGGTTACAGGTATAAATAATATAATAAAATATATGAAAAGAAAGAGATTCGACGCTGACGAACATTTGACAAGCAGGCAAAGAGCCGATAGCTTGGCGCAAGTATCTATTTTTATATTTATATTTCTTGCTGATAAATTTACCGAATTCCATTAATGTTTCTTATATAGATACTTGACCTTTGTTGAGAACGAAATTTACGATTCTTTGGTAAGTTCAATTACCCAATTTAATTTAAAATGGGTTGCGATTAATTTATTTATCTTGACGATTTATTATTTGTTGAATTTAGCTATATTTATGGTTCGCGGACACGAAAAATTATATACAAACAATCCGCCCTCTTTATGGAAGACTCCTCGCCTTTCCGATTAATTATTTCATACCTGGTCAAATGCGCGAGATTGCTAAAGCAAGATTAGAAAAATATGGTATTGTCTCTGTTGGGGATCGAGAATTTCTTGTGGATACGGATAAGCAATTAGAGGTTTGAAATTTTTGATTTTTCTATACATTTTTATCTGATGAAACTGATTAAATATAATTTTATATAGATGTATAAAATTATCAGGAAATCTTATGAGGTATTGTTGAATAAAATCGGCAATGAGGAGTTTTTCCTTGGAAATAAGTAAGACACTCTTCTTATTATTCTTAATAAACATTTATACAACTGATTAATAATAATCGCAATGATAGAGTTTCCACGCTTGACATAGCGATATATGGACATCTAGCAGTTCACCTATACTCGGATCTGCCAAATCCAAATTTAGCTATTATTCTCAATACAGAATATCCTAGTCTTGCAAGGTTTTGTGAACGCATGAAAAATCGACTTTCTGAAAGGGAGATTGTAAAATTGCCGGCAAATGATCTTCCATCTGTCTTCACAGGAATTTTCAGTTCTCCTCGTACATGGTTTAACAACACATTCTGGAGAACTAGGAACGTAGAAAAAAGGCCAGAAAAATCTCAAGCTCAAAAGGATTTTGAGAGAAAAAGGTTGATGTTTATTACTGGAGCAGTTTTATTTATGGTCATTCATGTAGTCTGGAATGGAATCATCAGGATAGAATTCACTGATGTAGATAGCGAAGAGGAGGAACATGTTGAAGAAACAGAAGAATATGACGAGTATGACGATGATGACGATGATGACGATGAAAAAGAGTAAATTGGACAGAAAATCACGGTGAAATTATTTTAATAAAATTTGTCCTTTTTGATCAATTTGAAAGTAATAAAAATAGTTTTTTAAGGTATGTATTGTTTATGTAAGTTTAAAAGGCTAATGTTTCCAAAAAAAAAGTCTGTGTTTAAAAAGAATAATAAACGGTCGATGATTGAAAAAGTTGAAAAAGGGAAATGATTGTAATGATTGTTGTGAAAGAAAACCAATTAAAAACGAATTTAGTAAAATAGAAAATATTATTGTATTTATTACTTAATAGCTGCTTTCGCTTAATATAAGCAAAATCTCACTCAACTAAATACGTTCCGGTTTCATCTATCCAATTAATGATGATGTCCATGACCTTTGTCTTCAGTGCCAACGAAATCAAGTTTGAATACTTGACCACATTCGGGGCACCTGTCAAATTCATGACTTTTTTCGACACTTAACCAAATTGTTTCATGAGAATCAACAGGGAACCCTATTGAATAATCATTTAAAAGTTTTTAACATTTATTCCATAAATGATATGATTAAAAAATTTGAATCAACCAATGAAAATTCCGAAATGAATATGACATACCAGAGCAGCCAACATAACGGTTAGTATCCACACTCTTTACCATAATAGGATTCTTTTTCGTACCCATAGCAGTAATCTTCAAACCGTCAATATCAAAGAGTTCCTTGCCTTCCAACTTAGCAAGCAATTCAGCACGTTCGATACCGGTAGCTTGTTCAATATCATCGGGAATAGTACCAGGCTTTGCACCGGGTCCGATCATGCTAGTATTCACTTCTAAAATCAAAATTTCGAATTACTTTAAATTATCGGATTGTTATATCGAAAATTATTATGCTCTCCTACTGTATAAATTTGAAATTTCCGCTCACCTCCAAGACGAGGTCCAAGAACAAAGAATGCTCTAGCTGCTGGTTGCCTTACAACACCTTTAGCAACTAACAATCTAGCCGAGCCAACTGTACGGCGAAGTGCTGAAGATAGCATAATTTAATTAAGAAAAGACAAAAATTTAAAGGATTAAATATTTGTAAATGATAAAAATTTTTTTTTTTTATGTTACGGACATTATAGATACTTCTAACCTTATATGGGAAAAATGCGCAGCAAATAATTACTTAATCATGATCAGATTTTTTTTACAGAAATGGACCGAGAATTAATATCTTGAATGATTTTTTAACAATAAAAAATTGAATCATTTTTTTTTTATTTGGGTTTTTTATAACCCTTGTATAATAACTTCAATCTATATAATCTATATTGTGTATTCTGAGTGAGTAAAGAGCAATTTACGTTATGTTCTATCCTACAGAACATATTTCTCATTTAACAGAGATGTAAAATCGTCAAAAAAAAACACCCTCAAATTTTTTCTTCAAAAATTTTAATTTCCTGTTTAATTCTTGAATGCATGTAAAAGATTTCTTTTTATCCAACAATTCCATGGTTTTTATTTAATCCTCGTTATAACACTAGATGATATATGTTCGGTGAATGTTTCTTATAATTTTGCTCGTTATTCAAAATCAATAAATTTCTGAAACTTAACGATTATAAATTTAAATCAAACGACAACCACCTTTCTTCTTTTGGTTAAGCAATCTCCCAACTGAAAAAAATGTCTGCAGTAGAAGCACCTCGCAAAGTTGCAAATGTACTGTGCCACATTTACTCATTAAGTCGTACAACTAATACCCTCATAAAAAGATATATCAAAATTCTTTCTCTTAATTGGATTCGAAGTTCTGTTTGGAAAAGAATCTTTTCTTATCTTTTAAGTCCTAGGGACCGTAAATCCTAAAGTTTTCATTAAGAAGCTCATTAAAACATTATTATAGACAAGTATAATAATAAATTTGTAAAAATAATTCTCTCGGGACCGCTTAACATCCCCTTTTTAAATTAATAATTTTGGCCATAATTATAAGGCCATTTCAAAGTTGATCGTTCGGATTTTGTGATTGGGTTGTACAAACATTTCGACCAATAACATTTGCGATCAA